AGTTAGTTGGTAGCTTATTGGCTGATATTATATACCAGCCCGTCGGCTTGACTTAGGGATTGGTGTCTTCTGTGGTGAAAGATAAGGTTTTCGTGTTCGTCATAGATGATACCCATTTCCATTAGATGGTTGATGTGATGGGCAGTCAGGCCCTCGGTGGGGTAGTTTTCCGGTATTACGGTTTGCGTCATGTTGTCTCTTTCAATGAGCCTCTCCAGTATGTTGAACATAAGTCTGTCTATCCTTGTTGTCTCAGTTAATGTGTAGAGCCGCTTGTTCGGTATGTAATTGCCGGTCAATGCATCTCGGCTTTGGGTTCCAATTGACTTGCGAAGTATTTTCCTTTCGAATCGTCGCAGCTCTTCCATTTGGGCAGACGTTATGTTCATCCACGCTACATAGCCGTACATTATAACTGGTTGTATAAGTTTTCTGTAGGCTAGAGCGCAGATTTTGGTGAGTTGACTAATGTTCCCTTGAGTGGCAGCTATTGGCTTGTAGATGTGCTGGATCTTGCTCAGCATTGCACATGCTTTCCTCCTGGCAGCTTCTGTGTGTATCTTGAAGTTGAGCTTTTCGTCGTAGATGACGCCGAGGTACTTGAACTGCTTCTCGTAATTGATTGGCAGTCTGTCATAGATGTACAGACTTGTCTCAAATTGTCTCGCATTCCTGTACAGGTCTCCCCGTCGGGGGCCTTTGAGGATTGAGCTGGTGCATTTGCTTGCGTTGAGCTTGAGGTGCCATTTGGTAAAGTAATTACACAGTATGTTCAAGTACTCGTTTAGCTCTCTTTCAGCGGATTGCATTGAGCCTGAGGAAGCCAATAGCAGGATATCATCGGCGTAAATTAGTGCCTTAATTCTTGTGGTTGAGCCGGTAGGGATTTGGTACTCGGGCATGTCTGCCAGGTAGATGTTGTAGAGGATGGGCGCTAGCAGTGATCCTTGCGGAACGCCTGCTGGGATCGACCTTATTAGGGACAGATCAGCGTCTTCTGGACTGCATACCTGAAATGATCTGTTTGTAAGATAGTTTAATACTACCTTTATAATGTCTGCATTGAATCGGAATTGGGTCATCTTGTAAATGAGACCGCTGGTCCAGACTGTGTCAAATGCTTTCTCAAAGTCCAGAGCACAGGCTCATCTCAAAGATGAAATCATTTGCTGCGATAAAAGCATGGTTGGTCGATGATTTCGCTCTAAAACCATATTGAGAATCCATCAACGTGCTGTTTGAGTCCATGTGTTTCTGTATTTGTCCCATTATAATTTTTTCCAGCAGCAGACTTATTGCACTCGGACGGAAAGTATCCCAAGTTAAGGCAGTGGTTGAACAGTGTTGCCAAGTGGTTTAGGATAGGCATGTTGCAGTGCTTCATCAGAAAGTTGCTAGTGCCGTCCGGTCCCATAGTTTTCTTTGTGTTTTTCATTTTCAGAATTTCCAGAAGATTTTCTGCGTTTGTGAATCCACACTCATGGGACTCGGGCCAGTTACCGTCTGCTCTTCTGGAAGTATTAAATGTAGTTTTGTATGAATTTAACGTTGTGGATATTGATTGGGCTATTGTTTCGTTAACGGTCGTTGTGTGTGCCCTGAGGATAGGGTCTGAGTCGGTGATGTTTTCGTTTTGGCTATGGATTCTTTCAAAGGACCAAGCAAGGGCATTAATTTTGTGAAATGTCGAAGATATATTTGGAGAGGTGCTAAGGTCTAGATCTATGTCTATTAAGGCAGCTTCCTCGCTGGTCAAATGTAGGTCATGAGCTAATTGTTCTTTCGGAGGAGAGTTTGGATTAAGTCCTTGAAGTGTTTTATGGCTAATTCTACTTGGATCTATTTTGCGTAGTCGATGGTCTATTGATTTTAGTTCGGCTAATTCTATGTGGCTGTTGATTTGTATGTCCAAGTCCTTTATTGTGTCTTTTATTTGGTTTCGTTGGTCTGGTGTAAGAGTGGATAGGCGTCGGAAAAGGATACGTCTAAGTTTTCGTTTTGTTTTGATTAGGTTTAGGCAGTAGGTGCTAAGTCGGACGGACGGATTGTTTGAGTTAGTCGGATCTATGATGATTTTGGGGATTGCTACGTCGGCATCAAGGGCTCGCTGGCGAAGGGCTCTGGTTACTGCATTTGTTAATGTATGGACGTGGCTATCTATGTCAGCTGTGTTTATATTTTGAGTGTTGGGGATGGGTCTGAGGTTCTGTAGGATTATTGTATTCCAGTGGATCGGACTTATTTTCTGAAAATTGAGTAGAGACTTGGGTTGGTTGTATGTTAGTCGGTTCTGTCCTAGATTTATGGTAAGGGTTATTCCAAAGTGGTCTGAAGGAAAGTCTTTTATGGTTTTGCAGCCATAGGTAGATGTTAAGCTGTCTATTGGGGTTGAGGAGGACGCTAAGAAAAAATCAATTGAAGAGTCTCCCATCGGATTTGGTCGGGTGGGTTCTTGGGTTGGGTGTAAACTCAAGCATGGTTGTTCTGCCAGCCATCGCTCCAAGCTGTTTCCAGACGTGTTGGCGTGTTCTGGACGGTATTCAGGCCTATTCCAAGTTGGATGTTTCGCGTTCAGGTCGCATCCCACTACGAATTGCTCATGGTCCTCTATTTTAGCCAGCGAGTGCATTAGAATGTCCAAGTCTGTGCCTAGTAGAGGATCTTGAGGACGCAGGTGCAGAGAGATTGCAATCAGTCCCGTTCTTATGTTGTTTCTGCTGGTGTGGAAAATTTGCACTGCCACAGCCTCGATGTATTGCATTTGGTCGATTTTCACACGTTCGTATTAAAGACCATTTCTCACGCAGATGGCCACTGATGTTGCAGGGCTTCTTGTGTTGTTCTGCGTGGTTGTTAAGCTTGGCATCTGTTGTCTCACGAATTGGTAGTGGCTTAGTCCGGGTGAGTGTAGGCATCGCAGATTGTGCTCAGCGAGCAGCATCAAATCTGGCCTGTGTTTGTTAAGCAGCTCGTTTAATTCTTTTCTCTTCCGCAGTTGAATGATGCCATTGACGTTTTGGAACATGACTTTTACCGGCATTTTAGTTGAGAGCGATTTGAATAAGGAAGTCTAGAATTAGTTGCCTCTTTCCCTTCATATCCGTGCTGGAGGTTGGATACTTCTTTACAACGGATTGCATGATGTCGAAGCAGGTAAGCAGATCTTTTCCAAATGCATCCACAGAGTCCTCATTTAGTTGTTCAAATGAAAAACTGGCTTTTTCTTCAGCTCTCTTGGGTTTCTCTTGGCGTACTCTGGGTGTTTCATTTACCTTTACCTGTGGAGGCATTGGTCGGCATTTGGCAGCTGAGGCGTAGCTTCGTCCCTTTTCAAGTCGGCTTTGTGGTGGGGCTGGAGTTGTGATGGTCTTGTTGGCTTTACTCTCTGTAGTATTGCGCCGTTCGGATACCTTCTTAATATATTCCATTCGTACCGGGCAGATCTTTGCATTGGCCGTATGGTTACCTGAGCAATTTACGCATTGAGTTTTTTGTGCCGAATCTTCTTGGCCATCCTTTTCTTCCCTTTTCTTTAGGGTGCATTGGCCTGGGGCATGCGATTTCGTGCATTTGACACATCGGAATGTCATTTTGCAGTTGCTTGCAACATGGCAGAATCGCTGGCAGTTGTGACACTGCTTTATTGCGTTTGGGTGCGGCTTAAAACCCTCGATGTTTATGCGGCAGTTGAGGAGTGTTGTTACTTTAAATATCATGTTTATTTTTGCCGTTTTCTCCACTTGCACCATCCACAGCCTATCCTTGTATGGCTTTACCGACAGGATGTTCAGCTCAGGCACGGCCTCAATAAGTGCTGCTTTTACTTCTTCGGCATTATACACTTCGAGTGGCAGTTTCCTCAGGATTACTGTGTGTGGCTTTACTTGTTTGGGTGTGTAGCTGTAGTACAGCACCTTGTCCTTGTTAAAGCGTTCCTTTGTCTGGTTAAAGTCTGTGTATCACATTTTTGTTGATAATGTTTAACATGAACTTCATTGCCGTTTCCTTAAGGATTGTCGTTAGAATCTTGGCATTTTGTTGATACGTAACTATGACCGGTAGACCTTTCTCTTTTGCAGGTTCTGCTACCGGTGGTTTGTTTGGCGTCACATTTCTTTTTGGCACAGGCATTGGTTTAGTTGGTGTTTTGGGTGTAGGAAGTTTTGGATAGTTGCTCACATCCTCAGTAATTGTTTTGGCTGGTTTCTTTGGCGAGGGCGGTTTTGCACTTATCTTTCTTTCCTCCTGTTTCGTTGGTTTTGGTGTTGATGTGGTGCTGGGAGTTTTTTCCAGGGCGTCAAAATATTTTTGGAACTTTATTTGCTGTTCACGGAGGTGTTTTAGCTCTGCCATTATCACAGTGTCGATTTCCGTCTCACATTCACTGATGTCATCACCTTCACTTAGGTCCTCGCTCTCGCTCTCACTGTCTGTTGTGGAGTACAGTTCATCTCTGGTCCTCTTCACATTGTCACTTTCGGCCTCCATTGCCTCGATGTCGCGCAACACTTCTTCACTTATTTCCGATTGCGCTGCCATTGTTTTTCTTCTTTCCACACTCTTTGTACAGATTCTTTTCTCACACTCATCAGGAGCGGGAATCACTGCACTGCACTCTGCTCTTGCAGTTTTCCTTTGTCTTGCACAATCACTGTTCACAATTGTCTTTTTAAAGTTCAGGTAGTTTGGCAATCTATGCGACACTCTGACTTTTTCCACTTGTTCACTTCACTTCGGTTTTGCGCACTTCACGTTAATTCACTTTGCCACCTTTACCACGACCAGTCATTTTTCACTATGTTTCTTGCTTCACGATTAACAGCGAATGTGAGTTAAACATATCTCTCACTTATATTTATACCAAAACACCATAGAAACACGAGTGAGTCCGAATTATATGTGCATCTCGCTCGGGATATGAAACAGCATGCTTCGGCTGCTCTCGTTCTGTCGTTTCAACCCTCCGCCAGAAGAACGAGAATGCTATATAAGCTAGCAGAGGGTTCGGTTTCTCTTATTGTAAATTCGAACGTTGAGAGTGAAAATGGCCCGTACCAAACAGACTGCTCGTAAATCCACTGGTGGCAAGGCGCCACGCAAACAACTGGCTACCAAGGCCGCACGTAAAAGTGCTCCAGCAACTGGTGGCGTGAAGAAACCTCATCGGTATCGCCCTGGCACTGTTGCCCTGCGTGAAATCCGTCGTTACCAGAAGAGTACCGAGCTGCTGATCCGCAAACTGCCTTTCCAGCGGTTGGTTCGTGAAATCGCTCAAGATTTCAAAACCGACTTGCGTTTCCAGAGCTCAGCAGTAATGGCCCTGCAGGAAGCTAGCGAAGCCTATCTGGTCGGTCTCTTCGAAGATACCAACTTGTGTGCCATCCATGCCAAGCGTGTCACAATCATGCCCAAGGACATCCAACTGGCCAGACGTATTCGTGGCGAGCGTGCTTAAGTTGACATTTCTTCGACAAGCGCATATAAACTTTATACAAATCGGTCCTTTTCAGGACCACAAATAACTTACATTGAGACTTTTTATTTCTACATACTCGCATTATTTTCCCCCAAATAAAATATGTACATACTAGGTCCCATAAGGAAATAAGCACTCCTAATATACGGCATTACTGCTAAAAGCATCTTAAACAAAAAAAGACTTTTAAAATCCAAAACTTTAAGAAACTCCTTTCTGGTGACCCTGACTTACTAAAGAGCCAAGGTTTCCCCACCAATTCTCACATAATAAATTAAATAAGCCTTTTTTTTAAATAACAATAAATCCATAGCGTATATGATCCGTATTAAATGTATTAGCATATATATGTATATTCTTCATGAGTTCTGTTCTTTGTTGTAATGTTAATGAAACATGTGTGTATTTTCCGTAATAATAAGTGGGTGGAATACAAATTCTGGCGATACAAATAATTCTCATTTATTTGGGGAATCAAATACGATTTTTTGTGATGAACTAATCAGAAACAACCAGCTGAACAACCTCTGATATTATAAACAATATAATTATAATTTTTTTACGTATTACAAATATTTGTGGACATTATTTTAACTTAATTTTAGTATCCAAGCTTTTCCAATGAATAATAAATTCAATTTTTTTAAATGTCAAAGATATGCTTAAACGACAGAAGAAACTTGGCATAGGCTTTTTAGACTAACAATCGAAAGACTAGTGTTTGAGATGCCAAGCTTTTTTGGCACATATATTTATCCAAAATCAATTAAAGGTCTTTGATTTAAAACTTAATAATGTTTATTTATACCGGCGGCTAGCTGAAGCCAATTGCTCGCTCTTTTGCCCAGCCAGTAGAGGTGTCAAACCATCGAGGGCACCATCGATATTATCGATATTTTACTGCTAGTCTCTACTATCGACGGTTTTGCGACTATCATGATAGTATCGAGCTACAGTCGTTGCGCTATTGATATGTTTGGACACTAACCATACAGTCTATAGATGTGCCAGTTCATACAACGAAAGGGGCGCAGCTGAGTTTGCAGCCCAACGCGGCCATTCCCAAAGCCAAAGATCTGGGAACGTACGCTGCAAACTCAGCTGCGCCCCTTTCGTTGTATGAACTGGCACATCTATAGACTGTATGGTTAGTGATTCAACGTTGATGTTCCTCGAATTTGATATTCCGTTTAATATTACTAGCTAGTTGGCCCTCTCAACACTAAACAAATAATTTTATCCGATAGATACATACATTTTTTAAGAGATTGGCAAGTTTTCAGAATTCCTTTTATTGGATTATTTACATATTAAGGTTCAAACAAAAACGGCCAAAGCATAAAACGTAAATGTTGACTAAATGTGACGTCACATGTTGCTGGTCAACCAAGATTCTTCTATCCGTATGGATTTTTGTATACCTTATTTCCTTTAATTGATGTTAAATTTAATGTTCCAAGCTCCATTGAAATATTAATAATGATTTTATCCTAGATTGACATGTTTATAACCTCTTAATGAATATATTTGTGTTTTATATATACATTTATCCCAGTTCTGATACCTATTATTGGAACCCGTGAGCTGCAAAACTTTTTTAATATCTTTAGAACAGAGATGGAATAGTTTTTGCATTAATTGGAGCCTGAAAATTCAAACAATATCTCAAGTCCATAATATCCATTTTACCAAGGTATTCAGACTTGTTGCTCATTCCGTGCTAAAGTTGCACAACATTGCTGCTACTTCATTTCTCCATGCTGCTGAAATTTTTCCCATACAAATCAAATGTTTCTTACGGGAACGCGTATGGAATGACGCAACAATGAATCTTTACATACATTCGATACTCTTATACAACTAGTTACAGCAACATTTAATATTATGATAGACGCTTAAGTAGCCGCTTAAAAATGTAAATATATAAAAATATTATACAGAAGTAATGGAAAAATGTTTTTAAGAATCGTATAAATTAGTGCAAACAATAAAATTTGCGAAAAATGTGTTCTTTCGATTTTAACTTTGAGATTGAGCGCCCCCAGCAGCAACGATGGCCAATGCTGGAACTAAACTATGTTAGGTCCAGAAATTGCCCTTCATCAATGGGGGCGCCACTGTGCAAGCTAATGAAATGTAGCTAATGAAATTGTACATTTTAATCTATGGAAATTTTATAGAGATTCCTTATAAATTATTTTCACGCTAAATACATTGATTATTAATTAATTAACGGAAAATTTTAATTGAAAAACGTTCATTTTCAGTTTTTATTTATTCAAAAACTTCAAAAAATAGTTTTATTACAGACACAAATATCCTATATATATTTACCCAATTGTTGGCGCCATCAAACGGCCGGTAGTTGCCTGTTCCATGCTTAGTTCATGTAACTATCAAAAGAGGGCGCCATCACAAAAATATATCGGTAGTTTGTGTAAAATACATGTAAAATTTGAAAATTAGCCAAGTTTTTAACCCAAAATAACCAAAAAAAAATGCTAAACTTTTTTTTTTTGTTTTTATGGTGTACGTTTTTTTTTCAGTATTTTTTTTCTGTTTTTCAAGTAAAATTTTTGTAATTTTCATATGGTATTTTTTCAACATTTATTAGCAGAACGTAGCTGGTTTTTCTTTTTTACATTAGGTCAAAAGCTGGTTGGTATAAAACTGAGGGCGCGCAATTCAAATTTGCGGATTTCGTGTAATTAATTTTTGGCAATATTGAAATCGCAATAGTCCTCGTGACCGGAAGAAAATTCTTGATTTTATGGAGTCCTTATAAAGGACGAAGGATCAAGGATATTTTCCCTAGTCATAAATTCGTACTCTTCTCCGCCATTTCTCATCCGATCTGAACGTAATCCTTGTCCTCGTAATCGGCAGGATTTGCCTCATCGTTTGGCATCAAGAACAATAAGGATATTGCCTTTTAACCGCTATAACTCCGCCATTCCTCATACGATCTGTGCGTGCAACGCCTTCTGTTCAGGTTTCACCGGACTTGTGATGGAAGGCTTAAACCCTGTCGTTTGCTCAGCAACAGCATCCGAAACAGGGTCCCGTTGCGCAGCACGGTCCGTAGACATTGGGTCCATAGCAGGGTCCACAACACGGTCCACAGGGACCACAGCAGGGACTGCAGCACGATCCACAGGGTCCACACATTTTTGATCCGTAAAAGTACTGGAAAATAATACAAAAAAAAATAGCTTTAGGTTATTATATTTATATTATATTTATACTTTATATTAAAGTATTTACCTGAAACCAAACAAAACTCGAAGCTAAACAAAAATTTATTGTTCTGTACTGCTCGGAGCGGAGTGTGAGGAATAACTGAAAATGTAAGAGAATAAAAGAATGAAAGAATTGTATTGCTTGGTTAATGTGATTGGCTGGATATGGAAAATGTTACCCAGAAATAAAGTCATCAAGTCATCTGAGAAATGTGTTTGGGCTTCTGTCCAACCCATTCTCTATTTTTCCGCTCCCATTTATTTCATTCGCACAGCACCATTCAGGCTAGAAACATCTAAATATTTTGTGTAGTACAATTTTTGTTCGTCTCAATTTCTGAATTTTTGTTCGGTTCCAGGTAAAAAAAATCGTATAAAATTCGAAAATAAATTTAAAAATTAAACAAATTTTGGTTCGAATATTTCTAGAAACTCAACTGCTCAAACATGTGCGGACCTTGCTGTGGACCCTGTGGATCCTGCTGCGGACCCTGCGGCTCTTGCTGCGGGCCTTGCGGACCCTGCTGCGGACCCTGTGGCGGCTGTGGTCCCTGCTGTGGTCCTTGTGGGTCCTGTGGCCCCTGCTGCGGCCCCTGCGGAGGATGCTGTGGCCCCTGCGGATGGTGCTAACCAAGGCGAAGGATCTGCGACTAACATCTACTGAACGTGAACCACGAACATAAATTTGAGACGGCAATAAAAAAATGGCTCAAACCCAATAGCCCAACAAACACGAAGCTTTCGGCAGGGTGGTATTATTGGGGTTAGGCTAGTTTTTGAACCTTAAGATTAAAAAAAGGTGTATGGAAGGTCCTTAGTCGCATATTGATATGTTGGAATGATGGAAAAATCGTGGAAAAATATTTTTTGACAACTGTTTACGTTTTAAACAAATGATTTATACTAGTTTTTAAGTCTTTTTCGTATCCAACATCTTTTTCGCTGTGTACTCGAATTCTAGTGAGCATTTTGAGCGCCCAATGCTGGTAACTATAACAAACACAATGGTAGCAATACAACAAACGATGCAGGAGCTTATGCGCAAAAAAAATCTCCTGAAGCTCCTAGTCAAGCATAAATCTGTTTAAATGGCCTGTCTAAATATATGTTTCTGGAATGCAAATGGCATTTCGCAGCACAAATGCGAGCTCTTACAGTTCCTCGCTCAACACGACATTGACGCCATGCTCAAATCAGAGACTCACCTAACAAATAAAACCTATTTTCACCTCGATGGCTATAACTTCTATGCGACAAATCATCCCGATGGTAAGGCACATGGAGGTACTGGCGTTCTGATCAAGAATCGCATTAGGCATTATCCATTGCCTTCATTTGCTACACCTTATCTACAGGCAACAGCAATTCATATTGAAATTCAGATCGGCTACCTAAACCTAGCCACAGTATACTGCCCACCACGCTTCTGCATTTCCGAAACAGAATTTGTAACATTCTTCGACCTACTAGGTGACCGACTAGGTGACAGCTGGTGACTACAATGCCAAGCACACCCATTGGGGAGCTAGACTTACCAACCGGAAAGGAAGACAACTATATAACGCTATAATAACCCCACGAAACAAGATAGACTTTATCTCTCCGGGCAAGCCCACATACTGGCCCACAGATCGAAACAAGCAACCCGACTTGATTGATTTTGCAGTTACACGAAGGGTGCTGCAAGCTCAGATTAATGTAGATCACTTAACAGATGTATCATCGGATCACTCGCCCATTCTACTTCACCTTTACGACCATCCACTGCTTTCGGAACGCCCACACTTTCTAACTTCTAGCAAAACAGATTGGCTCAAAAACAGGAAGTACATAAGCTCTCATATTGATAGCTGCCCAAACATTAATTGTAAAGATGACATTGATAGGTTAGTCGAAGCCTTGGTATCCTCAATATCGCTGGCGGCAAAACACTCAACATCAATATTACCATCTAATAAACTTTCCAACAGCAGTCGTATTTCTAGGCACATTGAAGTGATGCTACGCGATAAAAGAAGGCTTCGCCGAGAGTGGCAAGCACACAGATCACCTGCCTCGAAAGAGCGGCTAAAAATAGCCAACCACCTACTACGCAGAGCCCTAGAAGATGAAAAAAACCGAGCTCAAATATCCTATATGGAGCAACTCTCCCCAACTAGCAAACGATTCCCACTGTGGAAAGCAAAATCAGGCGTATGCCCACCAATCGAAAGTGAATAACCTTTGCGTACACAAACAGGAGAGTGGGCTCGCAGCAACAAAGAGAAGGCAAATACATTTGCCGTCCATCTAGAAAACGTCTTCAAACCACACCCAGCAACAAATAGCTTTGTGCTCCCACCAACCAACAATCTCCAAGCTACTCCGCCTATCATATTCCAATCAGGAGAAGTCACAAGGGTCATTAAAGACCAAATCTCAAAGCAAAAGAAAGCTCCGGGCCACGATTTCATCTCCCCTAAAATGATCATAGAATTGCCAAGCTGTGCAGTGTATTTCCTTACTGTGATATTCAACAGCATGATGAAATGGGGCTATTATCCTCAAGAATGGAGGAAATCAGTCATCACAATGATCCTTAAAGCCGGAAAAGACAAGTCCAAGCCATCATCATATAGACCTATCAGCCTACTGCCTTGCCTATCAAAGATATTTGAAAAGCTGTTCCTGAATCGTATCAAGCAACACCTACACATCAACGGTGCCATCCCGACTCACCAATTTGGATTTCGCGAAAAACACGGAACCATTGAACAAGTAAACCGTATAACCTCTGAGATACGAAATGCTTTTGAAAGACGGGAGTATTGCTCCGCTGTTTTTCTGGATGTCGCCTTAATCCACAAAATCAAAATATTACTTCCACAGAACATCCATGGAATATTGGAGTCATACCTACAGCAAAGAAGTTTCGCAGTACGATGCAAAGATTTTCTCTCTGAATATCATCCAATTGAAGCTGGTGTACCGCAAGGCAGCGTGCTTAGACCGACACTGTATGTCATATTCACAGCAGATCTACCGACAAACAGCCTAACAACAACTTCGACATTTGCTGATGATACTCCCATATGCCACGGAACACTTATCATCTCATCTCGTGGCCTTAGAAAAATGGCTAGCAGACTGGCGGATACATGCAAATGAGCAAAAGTGCAAGCATGTCACCTTAACGTTAAACAGACAAACTTTCCCTCCATTATGTCTGAACAATATCAACATTCCACAAACCACCGAAGTAACATACCTTGCTGTTCATCTGGATAGAAGGCTTACTTGGCGTAAACACATCGAAGCGAAGAGAAATCTACTTAAATTTAAAGCTAGTAATCTACATTGGCTAATAAACACCCGTTCACCACTAAAACTGGAGTACAAAGTACTTTTGTACAATGCAGTTCTCAAACCCATCTGGACATACGGCTCCGAGCTATGGGGAAATGCTTGCGTTAGTAATTTAGAAATAATCCAGAGAGCCCAATCGAAGATACTAAGAACTATCACTGGGGCACCATGGTACATACGGAATGAAAATATCCATAAAGACTTAAATGTAGGATCAGTTAAAGATAAAATTGCCAAAGTGCAAGCAAAGTATCAGGCCAAGTTTCAAGCCCATCCTAATAGACTTGCGCAGTCTTTAACATGGCACACTAGCCATACACGACTCCGGCGAAGAGCCCTCCCCACCCAGCAAAAATACTTAGCTAGGGACGTACTCTAAGTAATTTAGTGTAATTAATTAAATAAATATATTAGGCTAAGATTTATATACTTGGCGTAAGTCTCTAATAGGGAAGATTCAATAAATAAAATCCCGTAAAAAAAAAAAAAAAATTTGAGATTAATTGAATTGCCACTGCTATGTGGGTAAGAAACTATGCAATTTTTGGGTAAATATTTGA